TTTTGATCTTCTGTCTGAAATGAGGAGTAGTGATGTCGGTCGAAAGTCAGAAAGAAGTTATTAGAACGAAGTGTCTTGTTTTTAAACCTAGCAGATGGTAAAAAGAAGCAACTGGCACCTGCTTCCTCTCACTTCGCCATAACATGTCTTCTGTCTGTACTGGACGTTTCTAAAACATTCCTGCTGTTTTCTTGACTTGTAATGACCCTCTGACATCACTAGAACCACCCCCTGTTGGTTGTTTCAACTAATCAGGAAGTCACGATGTGACCGTAAGTGCGAACTCTTTAATAGTCCACACTTCCTGGAACTTCTGAAGCAGTCTTCAGTCTTCTTGAGTCTTTGACCGGAGTCTTCCTAGGGTCTTCTTCAGTCTTTCATGGAGTCTTCCACTTCTGAGTGGAATCTCTGACTGAAGTCTTCCTGAGAGTTCCTAAGGAACTTTCAGATTTAATCAATAGCTGATGGATTTGACCGTGAGACGAGGGTCCGTCCATCCCAGCTGGAGTCACAGCGCCTCGCTGTGAACTCACCCGGGCATAACGCCCTACAACTTCTAAGGAAGCTTATTCTGTTGAACGGAGTACCGTCACTACTTCGAACGATTCTCAGCCACCCTGACCAGAGACGCTGAAAGGTAGCATTGAAATGGACCTCTGTACCGGAGCTGATCTATCTTCTGCAAAGGTAACGAGTCGTCACGCACCGAGTGTACCGGGGCTGAGCTGGGATCGGATGAAGGGTGCCATTCCTGGTCAACACACTTTCCTTCATCCATCTAAATCCTCATCTTTAAACCTCTAAATCTCTCCTCTTGTAAACTCTTCTATTTTGCCAGTAGTCTAGGTGCCTTCTTCAAGTCCTGTTGTCTTATTAAGTAAAACGTGCCAAGTTTTATTAATCAGAACCAGATCAGCTAATCAAGTGTACAATGTTTTGATGTTAAATTTTGATTCTGTTCAATAAATGACCACATTTATTCTGATGGGTCAAAGGAAATTAACGTCTCTTGTCGCTGATTAAACAATCCACTCACAGTTATCTCGGTCACATGGCAGTAATTTAACTCGAAAAAGAGAGAACCCGTTTATTTAAATATATTGTAGTGGAGGTGCAGCTAACCTAGCCCTTAGCACACTGCAATATACTCAGAGCTCTATACAACACAATCTGTTTACACATTCATACCCACCCATTCTACTACAGAGAATAGAATAAACTTTTATTGTCATTGCACATAAATACAACAAAATTTGGGTTTGTTTCCCAGGGCAAAAGTTCCCTTTTGCCACAACACATGCCACAACTTCGGCATGAAGGGCAGGGGGTGATGTGCATTTCTTCAATGTGACAGGAGATCAGGGGTAGTAGAAGGAAGAATGGTTTGAATTTTCTCTCT